TGGATGCACTGTAGGGTTAGTCTAAATCAATGATTATTCAGTAGAAACCAAAATTCCTTAAAGAAGATGTTCATCTGACTCTTGGACATCCGGGTGTTCTTTAGTGTTATTTTGACAGCATGATTACTCGAAAAAAACAGAATTCCCTGAAGATGACGTTTACCTGACTCCTGGACAGCCGGGTGCACTTTAGTGTAGTCTATGTCTATGATTATTCGTAGAAACCAAAATTCCCTCAGGATGATTTTCACTTGACTCCTAGACACCCGGGTGCACTTTAGGGTTAGTCTATAGCTATGATTATTCTAAAGAAACAAAAATTTCCTGAAGGTGATGTTCACATGACTCTTGGATACCTGGGTGCACTTTAGTGATTGTCTATAGCTATGATTATTTTGATGGGAACCTAAATTCCCTGAAACTGGTGCAAGTACTCAGAATTATTACTGAAAAATGATTTAAATTTGTTGTAAACAACTATAACAATTATCAAATTTACTGTTTGGATAGTTTTTGTGTGTAAGAAGGTGTTTTTTTACTAATAATTTATGTAAATTATAGTTATTTATAAAAATTGTCGCGGTAAATTATAAAATTATTGTAGCCTGAATCTGAATTAAACATTATTATTTCGGTAATTTATGGAAATTTATGAGGTAATTTATAGGAATTTTCGCAATAAATAATAAAAATATGTTCCACATAAGTGACAATTAAAAATTTTTTATTTTAGCAATTTATGGAAATAAACATTTCTACTAATTCAAATTTAGAGAGTGTAAAAATGTATATCACTGCAAAATAGGTCTCTTTTTTGACATTTTAAAATAAGATGTTTTCTGAAGTATCTTACTGATATCTAAGATGCTTTATACGTTTTAGCAGTGATCAAGATATTTTTTCCATTTTAGAAAAGTAAGATAGTTCTGTAAGTTTTTTAAAGTATCTTAAATTAAGATGCTTCTTGTGCAATAAGATGTTTAAAGATAAAGTTCCTTGAGAATTGTAAAATGCGACAAAAATGTAAGTTTACTAAAAACTAAGATGCAGAAAGTGTTTTCCATACGAGCCCATACTTAATCTTAAAACTTTTTTCCCAGAAAATATGTTGAAAATGTGTACGAAGATACTTTTAACATCTTGAATTAAGATATTTCAAATAACTCAAAATTGTCTACCAAAACATCTTAGAAATGACTACCAAAACATCTTAAATTAAGATACTTCTTTTTGCAGTGTAAGACTAGAAAAATGCTAACCTCCAAAATTTTTTAAAATACACTTCAATTATGCCTCCAAATTTGAAAATTTAATGTTTCTTTAATAAAAAATACCCTTTTTCGTGTAATTTCTCTATTCGCGTATATTTTTTTTTATAAAAGAAAATTTTAATTTTGAACTGATGTATAGGGTCTTGAAGAGGTTGAAAATAAAATATATTTCTCTATTGTTGGAGTATTTTCGTTTCTGGATCGCATGGGCTTCTTCATCGATCGACTAAGAATTAATGGTCTTCACGAATTTCTCTCTCTTTCTCTTATCTCTTGCACTTTCTCTGTTCTCTTGGGTATCTTGCTCTTTATTGTAAGCAACGGAAGATTGCTTCCAACCTAAATCTAACAATTCCTTATAGGCACTAAAGTCTGAAATGCATTCTTATGTAGTGTAACACCAATTCTGTCATCTTATCGCTGAAAATAACTTCTATAGGTGAATTTATATATATATATATATATATATATATATATCTACATATAACACACTATTTCTGCAGTTGTCGATTTTTCCTTTACGTATCAGACATAATTTTTAGGATTGGAAAATGAAAACGATTTCGATAAATTTTATTTACATTCACTGATAAGATATCTCGGTAAATGTGATTTTACTTTTTTTGTGAATTTATCAACTGTAATGTGGCTTTTATTCCTTTGAAAATAAACAGGAATAAAGAAACTTTTACTATACTTTCATAGTAGAATATAAACTACCCGTATGGAAATTGCCCGATTTCGCCTTATTTGAAGAAGGGTACTGATGAGGAATTCGTGAGGCCAACCAAACTAGTAATGTCTAGATAGGTGATAATAGAGAACTGACTAAAATGCCTTCTTTTTTCCAAATAGGGAAATGCTTGCTTGCTTGCTTACTTGCTTGCTTGCTTTGCTTTAAAGCAAAGATTAAGAAGCATTAAAAAAATTCTATCCTTTTGAATACCATTTCTGTCCAATGTTTCTGATTTCCGCAACAGTAGTTGAAAAGTAAACAATTTCAATCTTTTTGAATGCTCATATAAATATAGTATAATGATATAATATTAATATTGTTGGCATTGCATAGAATGTTTAATTACTTTCAAATAACTGCACTCATGACTTTATTTGCTATTTTAAAAAGGAATAATTATTAACGTGTTAGTGAAGAAGGTTAAGAGTGTTTGAAGGTCTCTGAAATTTTTAGATTATAATTTATTGTTGAACAGAAACAGCCCTGACTCGTTTAAATGACGTGAAATTGGTAAACAATCAATTATTCAGCAAGTTTTTCTCTTAACAGAAACACTTTTTACAAAATCTACCAATTTACGTATCTTATAAATTACAAAAATCCAAAAGATTGCTTGAATCCATGCAAAAACGCGGCTCCAATGAAATATTGAAAAGTGATGTAATGACAAGCTGTAATAATTTCGGATGGGATTGGGAAGCATTCAGAAAAAAATTTTGTCTTTGTTGACAATTACAAACTGAATTGAATAGCATTCATTTTTAGACAAAACGTGGTCCTATTATGGTATAGAAAAGTATTGCACAGAAATGGTATTCAAAAGTATTGGATAATTTCTACTACATTATACAGAGTTTGAAATATATCAATCATTTTCAATTCCTCACTTCTTATTATCAGGTAAAACCCAGTATTATATTGAACAAATAAGACAAAACATGCATCTTGCAAGATGTGAAAATACCTTCACAGCAAAGTGAGAACGCAATTTCGACATTTTTATTCTACCAACATATGTATAAATGCACGCTTATGTCTGCCTAGTAAAAGTGCTCTGCCTGCCTGAATAAGCGTTTCAAAGCGATATTAAATAAAATTTAAAAAATAACGATAAAAGTAACGACTTTTCGTTACAAATAACAAAAAAAGTAACTCGTTACCGTTACTTTTCTAAAATAATAACGCGTTATCGTTAGTTATGATAAGTTACTATTTAGTCACCGTGGCTGCGTGGTAACACACATGCGTTGTGTTTCCAGGGTCTAGGGTTCGATCCCACATGCGTGCGAATTTTTCATTCTTAGATTTAAGTGTTATTGGTAGAGTAATTGTTCCTTAGTCTTAAATATTTGAATAAACACAAAAATATAAATAAATAGGGTGATGTGGGGTGATGTTAAAAATGGGGGGATGTGCAACACCGCCGATTTCTGATCTACAGTTCAATATTTAACAGAGCTAAGTATTGCCATTTGTTTGTGTCCTCAATAGCTTGTTTTTGATATAAAACTCACGAGATAGATCGCAGCTAGGTTTGCTGTACGTAAGTTGACTTAAATTTCTCGAGAAGGAAATATTTCTAGCGCTTTACATTTCTAGTCGTTTCGTGAAGGGTTTTAATTTATTTTATAGATAAGAATGTGTTTATTGTTGGTTTTTTAAGTGTTTTTAAATATCTGTTTATATTTTGTGTTTCCATTGCATTGTATTGCGTACAAATCATTTTTTGAAAAATATCATATTTGGGGTAATGTGCAACACTTTTTTTTTGGGTGGACATAACTACTTTTTACGTGCCATAACTGCAATTCAAATGATGAATAAAAAATTCTTAGTTATTTTCTTTTTATTATATTCCTCATTCAGTTATTAATAAATAAAAAATTAAACAAAAAAATTTTTTTTTCATTGGTGAAATCTTCACTTTTTAGAGGTCAACTATACCTTAGTTAATTTTTTTTGGCAGATTTCGATTAGTTTGCATTGAAAAAGAACTGAAAGTCTTTTTGCAAAAGAATAAGTGATTGCAATAAGTAGAAAAGGAAATTGCAACCGAGAATAGTGAGAACGGAGAATAGAAGCGTCTCTTAAGTAGTAGTAGTCTAACTGCAGTCAGACAGATCGATGTTCGGTACTTTCGACAATGTAAAACTATTTTTCTATAATGATTTTAAAGGTATTATTATTTTTGTATTATTCTTTTTTGTTTCTGTTATTTTTGTCATTCTACTTTTTCTCTTTCTCTTTACGGTCGAGATTTTTCTCCCTTTTTAATTTCTTATAGAACTAAAAAAACTCAATGAAACATTCGTCAAGATAATAAAATTTAAACATACAAAATTATATGCGTTGGAATTTTTTAAGCTTACGCTTTTGTAATTCCAGCTTACGTTTTATACTATTTTTTTTCTTTTTTACTCTTTCTACCCATTAACTTTTCATATCTGACTCTTTTTCGAGATTCGTATTAAACTACATTCAAACATAAAAAATGTTTTACGTGTGTCGTTTCCTGAAGCATAGTCAAAAAAATAAATAAAATAACTTTGCAAAATGTTTACTAAAGAAATCTAAATAAACCCCAAAAAATGTTGTTTAGATAATTAGAGAAAAAAACTTTCAATGATATTTTAGATATGAAGGTCAAAGATAATATAGAATTGTTCTTTTTTAAAAAGATTTATATTTCTAAAAATAGGGGAAAGTTTGTTAAAAAGATTAAACACAATGTAAACAAGATGTGCAAGGTAAAAATAAATATTAAAATGAAAAAAAATTAATAAGAAAAGAAAAAAATGAAAAACTTGATAAATAAAATAAAATGTAATATGAAAATAATTTTGCTAAGATAAGAAAACTTTCTTGTTTTTATTTTCTTTTACTTTTGCCTTTCGCGTGGCTTTTTTCAAAGTTTTTCTCTGAGAGTTTTTTTCTTCATTTCTTTTTTCATTTTGCCATTAGTACAGACCACATTTTTTCATGTTATCTTAACTTCATGCTCCCAAAAGACGCTTGACGAAATATCCAGGGAAGGCGTAGATACCGCAAGCCGCGAGAAAAATAAGTAGAAGAACACCAATGCAGCAAAAAATCTTCCACTTGTAATGGCGGCAAACCACAAAGCAAAAAGCTTTCCACGGATTTCGAAACCATGAAAAAGACGTATCAGGTCGACTGAAATAAAAGACAAAAAGAAAACATTACTTTTTTTGTCATGTAATATAATCTTCTCGTTTTAATTAATTCTCAACGTTATTTATAACATTGTTTGGAAGGAAAATGTATTTAAAGGAACAAATTATTACTAAATATTATTATAAATTATTAAATATTTCCTAATATTACAAAAATAATTCGCTTCTGACTGTCACAAAATGTTGATCTACGATTGATCTTAGGAACTTGACTTTAATTTTAAAATTGTATTTACTCTTTATGATTGACCCAAACTATTTTTTTATTTTTCAATTTTTCGTAGCACTTGAAAGCCAAAAAGCCGTTTTTTCTATAAAAAATCGGCAATTTGTTATTGTAAAATTAGTAATTTAAAAAAAAAGAAAAAGCTCACAGGGATACCTATAAGGAATTATGTCAAGAAATACTGTACTAAATTTCAGAACGATTGGTCCAGTAGATTTTGAGTTATGACGTACACGGACTTCAAAAACAACAAGTTTCAGAAAAACGCTTCAACCTGAGTAAAAATTCCTGAAGTGCCCCCTCTATTTTCGCAAAGTTGCAAAATTTAAAATAAGTAATATGCGTTCTATATATTCCTATTAATTTAAGCGTACTATCACTTCTTGACATGCCGTGAAAGAAACTTTTTTCTTTATAATAATTATTAAGATTGATTAGAATAAGTTAAGCGCGGAAATTTCAAGCTGTTAGCAAATTTTGTAAGTTACAACTTTTTGAATTAGATTTCAGGAAAGTTCATTCGTGTGAGAATTAACGTTCACTTTATATTTTGAGACGTTTGATGGAAAGGTGAATTAATCATAAGAAATATAATTTTCACTCTTCTTTAGTTTTCTGTTTTTAAAAATTTTTTCTTTCTATAGAAAAAAGTTACTAAGATAGAAAAAAAGGGAAAAAATTCTACGAGTTGGTTTTTCAAAAGATTGGGAATTTTTTTAAAAATATTTGAATAGAGAAATAATGGAAAGAAGAGAGAGAACGAGAGAGAATATTTTTTTAAGAAAAATTAAGAGCTGATATTAATAATAATAGCAGGGGAAATGGCCTCAAGATGGACATTTCGTTTAAAATTTTTGAATAAAGTAACAGCACATTATGCTTTATATTATTTTTCGTATTGACGAAGTTTTTTATGCGTATTTGAATGAAAAAAAGCAATTTTTTTATTTTGCAGACACCTCCTGAAAATTTTATCTCACGAAGTTTTCTTACAATTTCTTCGTAAGTGGGTAAAGTTATTTAAATTTTTGATTTTCAATAGGTATTTATCGTTAAAATAATATTTATGTATTGTACAATAATACTATAAAATAATTTTTTCGATAATTTACTTGAATACACAATTTTTCTGGACTTACATAAAAATTGTGTCATGGACCTTAAGATGGACACCACATTGTACAAATAAATCTTACTTTTAGCCTAATTTAACTAAAACCATAATAAATTAGAAATATTTTTATCTGCATTACAGCCTTGAAAATATGATTCTAAGTCCTAAAATTGTCTTAATCTAGTTTTAAGCATAAAAATAGGCTACTGTTCATTTATTCTGATTGTAAAATGTAAACGGTTTCAGACTTTGTTTTTCATACTCTTATTTACTTTTGTTTTCGATTAGACACAATCTTTAATAGTTTTGTGAGATATTTTAGAGATTATTAAGAAGGTGTCCATCTTAGGGCCCCTTTTTTACATCAAAAATTTTGACTATGTACACCGAAAAAAAAATATTCTTGTTTTAAGCGGATTCCTCTTATTTCAATGCATATTTTCCTCTAAAATATGGCTTAAAAAACTGTCCTCTTAATTTAAGAGGAATGTCCTCTACTTCAGAGTATTCCTCTTAAAATAAGAGGATAATCTTAAATCAAAAGGAAATCCTATTAAAAAAGTCTAAAATATTGTAAAGAAGCATAACCTCAAAATGATATAAATGTTCTGCAAAGAAACATTAGAAAAATATTTATATAATATAATAAAACAATATGCATAACCTCAAAATTATTCAAATCACTGTTCTTCATTTGTACTAAACTCAGGAGACTTTAACGAAACTATAAAACATTCACGAGACACTTCGCCATTATATATTTATATGACGAAATCAATAGTTGCGCATGTGCGAATTTCTAGAGGAAATCCTCTAAAAGTTAGAGGATTATATTAAAAGAAAAAAATTATTCTACATTATAAGAATATTATTCTCATATTAAAAAGAATAATTTCAATGTATGAATAATGTGCTAAAGTAGTCCTCAAATTTCAAACCTCTTGAAAAGGAAGGAAAATACTCTCCGATTAAGAGTAATATTCTTGATTTAAGTATAAAATTTAAGAGGATTTTTGAAGAGGAATTTTCCTCTCAATTTAGGAATATTTTTTTTCAGTGTATTTGAAAAAATACTTTAAAAATTTGTGTGTTCAAAATAAAAAATGTTTTCTGTGTCCAAAAGATACCCAATATATTGTACATTTATTTAGTATATATGAGACATTCTCTGAAAAAAGCCACTTAAAAAAAGTGCTTAGTTTTTTTCGGCAATAATATGTCTTTTAGTACATCTAAAAACTAAGAGAAAAAACATGATTTTAGGTCCTAAACTTTAAAACTATGTATCACAAAAATTTTTTAAATTTATATTTCATAGAAAAAATTTAAAAAAATTCTTTTTTTCAATTTTTAACCCTTTATGCCCCCTTCGATTTTTTTTAAAATTACCTCAAAATATTCCTTTTTTATTACCTTTTTATCCCACAAAACAAAATTTTGGGACAGTAATATTTGTATGAGTTACAAATTAAAAACTAGCTCAGCGCACGCTCTCAATTCGAGAAAATGCTCTCGCGTATAGAATTCGAGTAACCAAAAATGCCACTAGGTGGCACTGATGAATGCTTTCTTACAACCGAATTTATTTACGCATATTATAAGTATCGCGACTTTTTGTACCTGTAACATTTTCTACTATTAATGAATGGTAACTTTTTTCGGAGTAAGTACATTTATAATTTTATTTTTTCTTTACTATTAATTGTCTAAGTTTTCTGAAAAATGCCTTTTGTTAAATGTTTTATTCCATTTTAATTTAAAAACCATAAAAATAAAAACGTACGAAAAATCAATAACTGCAAAATTATTGGAGTACCTCAAAATTTGTATTTGTGCGACAAATGTTGCAAACAGGTTTCGACAGAAGGTTGGCCTGAGATTTTTACTGTTGAACCTGAACCGTCTACTTCTTCAGGAAATTTGAGTGAAGTTCAAGTCGAAAACGAATTTGAGGATGATAATAAATTTGACTCTGAAAACGAATCTGATTCAGATTACATGTATGATACGGTCAATAAGTCTAGTAATGAAAGTAATACTTCTGCTGATTTTTTCAAATTTCCTGAAGAAGTAGACCTTCTGTCGAAACCTGTTTGCGACATTTGTCGCACAAACACAAATTTTGAGGTACTCCCATAATTTTGCAGTTATTGATTTTTCGTACATTTTTATTGTACGCATTTTTGGGTACTCGAATTCTATACGCGAGAGCATTTTCTCGAATTGAGAGCGTGCGCTGAGCTAGTTTTTAATTTGGAACTCATACAAATATTGCTGTCCCAAAATTTCTTTTGGTGGGATAAAAAGGTAATAAAAAAAGGAATATTTTGAGGTAATTTTGAAAAAAATCGAATGGCCCAATGGGAAATTTACAACTGGCGGAGTACTGCGCCAGCACTGTCAGTACTGGCAGCTTCGCTGACAGACAGCATTGTCGTAACGCTGGGATGATAACGCTGTGTAACTCTGTCGAAGTACTGCCTGCCAGAGGTGCCAGACAGCGCTGGCGCAGCACTGGACCAGTGCTGGCTCAGACAATTGCCGCAATAAATGCCGTATTGTTATTAATTAGTCGTAAATTCATAATTATAAATAATTTAACAACAAAATGGTGAATAATATTAATAAATAGTTATTATTCATAAAATATTTCTCTTTTTGCTTCCTCGTGAGGAAGCTTTGAAGTCGTTTAATTTACAAAATTTTTAAAAATCCTTTTAACAAATTTTCTTCTATATGGGACTATGTTATATAAGACCCTGAACAATTGTCCGGATGTATGTATGTGTGTGTGTGTGTGTGTGTGTGTGTGGATCCCGATTTTTGTGAACACGATAACTTGAAGAGGTTTTAACGAATTTGGCTAAAATTTACCAGGTATATTTATCCTAAAAATATCTCGAAATGGATTGATAGACTTTAAAAAATTCTCAAAAAAAAAATTTTTTTTGACTTTTTTCTAAAAAAAATTTTTTTTCAAAAAATTTTTTTTAAGTTGGTTATTGAAGTTAATAAATAATAAAATCTTATTCTGTGCATCAAGACGAATCGATTAGTATATAAAAAGTATAAATTGTATTTAAATTTATAGAATTAAAACCAATTATAGACAAAATATTTGCACTTTTAATAGAAATTCATTTTTTCTTAAAAATCATGTTGCTGTACAATAAAATGTTATTATTTATTGAGAAATAAATCAAAAATCTTATTCTTTGCATCAAGACGAATCGATTGATGTATATAAAGTATATAATCTATTGAAAAATATAGAATTAATTACAATCAAATTTGAAAAATTCACTTTTTTACTAAAATTTTTTTTATTTATTTAGATTCATATTACTGTTTAAGAAAATTTTATTCTTTCTATTAAGACGAATGCACTTTATTTTATAAATGTTAAATTGTATTAAAAGTTATTTAAAAATTAAATATTCTTATTGTTAATGCTTCCTCCACGAGGAAGCAAATTTTTTTTGCTGATCGTAAAGAGGAAGCAAAATGTTCATGTAATGAACATCTGGATTTACAACTTGTTAATTAAATTGTATTAACGATGGAGACTAACAATGGATTTAGTAAATGAAGTAGAAAAAAATTGTTTATAACATTTAAAAATTAAATAATAAACAATTAC